CTAAACCCTAAAACCCTAATCCTTAAACCCGGACCCTGGACCCCGAAACCACAGCCCGCTGGGGTCCCACACTTTCGGCCGGCGCAGGCTCTCGTGTCCTTGGCATGTCGCACCTGGCGGCTGACAGTTTAGGGGTTTAGGGTTTAGGGGTTTAGGGGTTTAGGGGTTTAGGGTTTAGGGTTTAGGGTTTAGGGTTTAGGGTTTAGGGTTTAGGGTTTAGGCGGCTGACAGGCGGGAACTCGAATATCGGGGCCTCACGAATTAGAGTAGGGTTTGGGGGTCTAGTATACCATATAATCATAAGGCGGAACCCAAAGCCCTATTGTAATTATTACGGCCCCTACATTAGACCCCACAACCCGAAGCCATATGGCTGTTGATGATATAAATCCTGCATTACCTTAAGGACCCTAAACTATGGGAATTATGGTATATTGCTTATTACAGGTAATGCAGGATTTAAAACATCGACCCTGTCGCATTTTGGCGCATGCTTCAGACCGGATGAGGCTTCTGAGTCGATGTGGAGAATCCAAAGTCTACTTGGAGGATCATGGGACTTAGTAAGTAAGGCTATAAGTCCCTCAATTGGGGTTAGAAGTAAACATAAGTATAGTTACCTTAGTTATAACCCTACTTACTAAGTCCCATGATCCTTTAAGTACCGGAGAGACTTCTTGGGGCTGTTATAAGTGCGGTTATTGAGCAAAACAAGAGCAAGGGCGGGTGCAGAATCATTAAAGGTTTCGGGTCTGGTTGCATTGGCGTTTGAGAGATTTGCTGTTGTATGCTTTTGGAGATTCTCTGCTTTGGGAGTCTGCTGAGGATGGCTGTCAAGATCGTGAAACAGTGACTGGATTCCTTGTCGTCAAAATGGTCGTCAACACTCTTGTTGTCATCAGAAGCTTTCGTAGCTATTGAGAAGAACAGCACGAGCAGCAACAGCACGTAAACTCAGCAGCACTGCAAACGAACCCGTCTCAGACACCCCATCGCTCAGAAGAAAACAAACTCCTAAAGCTCCACTTCAAGGATCATGGGACTAAGTAAGTAGGGTCAGAATTAAGGTAACTATACTTATATTTACTTATAACCCCAATTAAGGGACTAATAACTTCTAACCTTACCTACTAAGTCCCATGATCCTCCAAGCAAACCATAGAAGCTTCCAAACCCTAAACCCGAGTCCCTGAACTCCTAAGTCTCCCAAAACACCCAGGCCTTTGGTACGTCGCTGCACGGTGCTTCCTCCGGAAACTTCGGAGTTTTAGGATTTGGGTTTCAGGGTTGGGGTTGGTTTGGGTCTATCTAGGGTTTCTTTTTTGGGGGTTTAGGGTTTAGGGTTTCCCTAATTAAACAGAATACAGGCATCAGTTCATCGAGATTGAAAGCCCTTTCCTACTCCCCGAAGTAGAAACCTTAAACAACACATCCTTCAAACACTCCAAACCCTGACAGCCTGTACCGCTCAACCCCAAAGACCCCCAAGTTCGACAAAAATGGAGCTTTCCGAAAATAAGGGACCCTAGCATAGCACCCTAAATAGTAGGATCC